ACGAAAACTGGACAAGCTGACAAACAGATGAAAACCACTGTTGTCGCCACACCCCTTTTACTCGGCACGATAAAGGACTGTTTATAAGGGAATAGGGACTGATGGTGAACTAGCAGTGCAGTGTTCTTTGCTGTCAACACATCTCGAAATTCAATTTAAAATGCTTTATCGTTAATGTAGTTTTGTGATGTTTCATGAGTCTCCGTGTTTTGCATTCTACCCTACTCTCTTCATAAGTGGTTCGCATTAGCATTTAGTTAATAAACACCCAGATGGTCTTTAGACGAAATGTAGTGCAAAAAAACTAACTGCTTGACGATTCATTCACAATCTCTGTGTCCTAGCTCCTGCTATGACACAAGCAGTAGTCATGACCTACTGGCATCCAGCATCACCTAAGGTAATGTTAAGGTACTTTTCAAAAAGGAATCCGTTAAGATGAATGGGTGTGTGAAAGCGATTTACCTTAAGCGGAGCAACGTAAAGCACAGTGACCATTCATCTCCGCATGACATAATCGCTCAGTCTGGTACTCCACATGCCAACAAGTTTTGCATGTTATGTTGCAAAAATGGGCCATCTCACGCGCACACGTACCCACAAAGGCACACGCGAACATCGAATTACCAATTCAAATGAGCTCTCTTCTGCACACCGCGTATGCTATTGTGTGTTTGTCACTCTGACCCGCTCTTGAGAGACACATTCACAAAAAGTGATCGCTCTCACTCACCCACTCGCTCGCACTCAGCTTTGTCGCGTTCCTTGGTGCTGTGTAATGATTAAAGAAAGTGCTTTTTCCTACACACATAGTTCGGGTGGTAAAGATGTTCATTCTTAAGAGGTGATCTTGAATTATTTAAACTAGTAGCAACGTAGCTCCTTGTCAATAACTGGCGAAGGCAGTACTGGTAATCTACTACGCATTGATAAAATAAAGAACTGGCTAAGCTCTTGGCGCTGAAAATGTCATAGTCAGCGTTTTATTGCCCAGTATACAAATAGTACTGCATTTGTTTTATATTACCTACCGTCATGTCTAAAAGTAATAGTATTAGTAAAATTCTTCTCAGTCTTGGTAAAAAGATAATGATGAAATGTTCTTAAAAAGATTATGATAGCAGGCACAAATTCCAAATAAATTTTTCAAAACAAATCAACATTTCGGCATTTAAAAATCTCGTTCGACTTTCCTGATCCGTACATTTAGTGGTTCTTAAAGTTTTATTCCAAGGTCCATGTAAACCATTTTAATTTCCATGAATATGTATCTTTTGTTACTTTGTGTAGAAGGTTGACTGCAGCTCGGTGAATTGCAAGTTTTGGGGTTTTTACATTCTGTCAAATCGTCCTGAGGCTGCCATGTAGATTTGCCCAGCGGCAAATCAATTTGACCACCATGACGTAGCACAAATAAAAGGAGTTTTGATTTGTTATCTAAAACTGGAGGTTGGTATATTATTCTTAACCTAACTAATGCGAAAATTTTCAATCGACTAAAAAGTTGGATTTTCAAACCTTAAGTTTACCAATTTTTTAAAAATACCTCGCAATTTTTAACAAAATTTATCTGTGATGTAACCGGATAAGTTATATTCGAATTACAACGTGCGCAATGTGTCTCGTGCAAGGTAGTACACTTAGAGTGTACAGGCTTAAAACCTACCGTAAAAATGAACATCTATCGCTTTTACTGGACATGCTCGTCAAAATAGGGTGCGAAGTCTTATTAAAACATGCAATTTGTCAACCCTTTTGCAGATTGTTCACTAGACTCCTCGCTTCCCTTCCTCCCCACTCTCACCCCTCCGAGCATTGTGTCCTTTCAACCCGAGTGGTGCAGTCACCTTCAGATTTATGGTTATCCGCATCCTCGATCAAAGCGGGACACCAGGCGCGGAGGAGAATGAGGGGGAGGAAGGGCGGAGGCTACTTGTGGGGTCCCTTACACCTTTCTCCCACTGAAGTGATAGCTATACAGAGCAGGGGGAGAGGTAGGTTGATTTGCAAATCAAATGAGTGTGACACGAGTGGGCATATGTATATGTGTTTGCGGTGTGCAGACCCACGGGGAGAGTGATAACGCGAGTTGTCACGTTGACAAGCCACAGGTGGCTATCCGCCTGCCCAGAACTACAGGGAAAAGAAAGAAGGTGAGTGGAGCATGTCTTCGTCCTCCCCTATTTCCCCCCCTTCCACCATGGGCAGGTGCTGGTCGCGTGGTCTAGTGTCAAAACAGGCACTAAAGTGTCCATCAGGACCCTGGTCCGAAGGCTGTTAACTAAACTCACAAGTGGACGAACATTACCATAGCAAAACAATCTGCGACATTGACCCAAACTTCAAGATGGTTTTCGGCCAGCTCATACTGCATTTGTGGCAAAACATTGTGATTTCTCGCAGCAGTCAAATAGCAACTCGAAGGTTAATGTCAACATTTTTGTAGAGCTGCACAAAGTTAATCTAAGATTGTAACACTGAAAGGTGTGTGAAATCAGAAAAGTGGGAACAAATTTACTCCCCATTAGGATACTACAGTGTGATGAAAAAATTACGGATGTCAACCATTTAGAGCAGATAAGGCAGCAAATAAAACCAAGATTTACTTTAAAATCCTCCATTTAGCCTTCGTCGAAATTTTTATATTTTGGAACGGGTGATAAGGATAAGCTGGTTATATGAGTAAGCTAAAATTGGGAATTGAACGGTTTATTTGCAATTTGGTATAATATTGCAATATTATTTCACTTTTGAGTCGTTGGATGGTTCGTGCAGTATTTCTAAGGAAATAGCCCTCAATTTTTCTGCTTTATGATTTAATTTTTAGCCTCAATTGGTTGCAGTAAATTGGTTGGGTGGCATTTTATGTTAGCCACTTCTTTCTCCAAGTTTGCTTGGGGACAGGCCATAAACACCGCCCTCAGCACCCACTTCGCATTTTATAATGAATAACAAACTATTAGTGGTACAATAGTTGCTTAAATTCGTAAGCGTTTTTGCTTTGATTCAGTTGTTGAACTAAGTCTACATTTCTCATTCTTGGAGTTGTAATAAAATAGAGTACATCATTCAGCTCAGTCATTAAACTTGAGTGACACGGCTGGACAGTTATGCATTTTGATAATCAAAATCTTCTATAAAGGGGGGGGGGCTGTTCAAGGACCTCTATGTACCTTTGCAATTGGCCAAAACAGATAAGCCGTCCTTAACTTTCAACCAGACTCTTAACTACATGTTGAGTTGGATGGAAAAATTCAGTCCGTCGTTAAACCCAAAACGTGCTATTTGGTAACTGGGGGTGTTTGTTCTACGTTTGAATACCTTTGTTATTCTGTCCGTGCGTAATTAGGAGGAGCCCAATGTTTTAACTTGAATCAAACTATCACTCTTGCTGAAAGCATAGTTAGCTGTATTTGACCTTAGTTGATAGATTCCTAATTGACGGTTAGGTACTCATAGTTTAACACCTAAGAAGAAACCCCTCATTTGGGAAAAGTGGTCAAGACTGTTTACATTACTTTCGCATTTGAACCCCTAGAAATAGGTTTATTTGCTTTCTCTATAAATGAGTGTTTCCATTGAAAGTGAGCGCGCGGAATTAGTTAACACGGCCAAATCCCCACCGCTAATCCTAACGCGAAGAGTGCGCTTGAGCGTGAGCGAGAGAACAGTTTTGCTCCGCGTGACCGCTTCGCAGTTGGCTGGGATGTGCACGAGCGCGCACACGCGAAAAGCGCGCTTTTCATTGGCTGCGGCCTCCACGAGGCGCAAAAGAGCCAGCACGATTGCGTTGGTGCACCCCAGCGATAGAACGCACGTACGCACACGCACGACTGCTGCTCTCACACACCGCACCACGAACAAGACAGTTCCGGGCAGTCGACCACAAAATGATATGCAGCGACGATCCTAATCAGCATCCGCGCCACCAAAACACCATCGATTTCCCTTCCAATCAGTCACCTGACTCTCCAAAGCCCGCTTCTCCCATTCCCGATGGTAGCAACAGCAGCCACGGGGGTCGGAAACGTGGCCACAAAAAGAGCAATGCCTTCTGCCACCTCGAGGCGGGAGCTGAGGAGGCCGAAGAAGTAGAAATCGCCTATCCCGTCAACTCTATAGCTCTAGAACCAGCACAACAGTTTGTGCCTTCCTGGCAGTTTGAACAACCCGGATTTCCCGTCTACGCCACTGGACATGAAGCACAGTACCCTGGACTATTTCCACCACACCAAAACTTCCTCGCTGTCAATCATGTACTCCCTTGGAATCCGGAAAGTGATGAGACCTGGAAGAGCGCCTCTCCCTTTCCTCCCGAGGCCTACACTCAATTCCCGACAACTGAGTACAATCCATGCTGGTCAAGAAGCTCACAGGGAACTCAGTCCCTAATCATTGAAGAGACCAAACCTGATCTTTTACTCTACTCGATACCGCGATCTGAAAATGTCTATGAGACGGCCTTTAGAGGTCAAACCGGAGAATCTAATCAGCACACATTTCAGGCTCCCGAAATGGAGGAGTATATTGCGCAAGGTGATGAGATGAAGCCTCCATACCCCTTTCCCTTAAATGGTCATTTGCCACTGGTACATTTCCAGCCCGAAGACCACTCTACTGCCACAATTTCAACCTCCTCTCTGGAGTCTGATCTGAATGCCACCAATAACTCAGGCAGTGAGCCTGAGACCAAGCTAAACCACCTCCTACGCACGGCTGGCATTGAATCACTTCCACTGTGCTTTAAGGATGGAGAAGGTTGGAACACCTCTCCATATATTGCTCCACCTCAAGTGCAGCATCAACCACCGCCACCGCCTCCTCCTACAAATGTGGCTAATCCACCGCTCTCCGAGCAGCTATCGTCGGTGCTACCGAACACAGAAGTTGGCAACATGAAGTCACCGAGTGAGGACGCTCTTTCCACTGGATTCCCCCTCCTCCCACCTTTTTCGCTTCCTGCTGCCTACAGACTCATCCCACCAACTGAAACCGCCGATTTTGACCTCTCCCAGGTGGGCACTGCATCGTCACCTAACTCAGGAGGTGAGAACCTCTCTCAACCTCAGGAAGAATTTCCCTCTTCAGACGATCTAGAACACTTTGCGAAGCTCTTCAAACAACGACGGATCAAAATGGGCTACACGCAAGCAGATGTTGGTCTAGCTCTTGGCACTCTTTATGGGAATGTCTTCAGCCAGACGACCATCTGTCGTTTTGAAGCACTACAACTATCATTTAAGAATATGTGCAAACTGAAACCTTTGCTGCAGAAGTGGCTCCACGAGGCAGACTGTTGCACTAGCACAACAAGTAACTTCGACAAGGTGACTACTCAAGGAAGAAAGCGAAAGAAGCGCACAAGCATTGAAGTGGGAGTAAAAGGGGTACTGGAGGGCCACTTCATTAGGCAGCCGAAACCAGCGGCGCAGGATATCACCAACCTGGCAGATACCCTTGGACTAGAAAAAGAGGTTGTAAGGGTGTGGTTTTGCAATCGACGTCAGAAGCAGAAGCGTCTTAATCCGGCGGCCTTTGAGAATGGCGGCGATTTGAGCGAGAATTCGCTTCGCGGTGGGGAGGGTGGATCGGGTTACAGCACTCCCCCCTTCTGTGGTGGCGGAGCTGATGGGACGCACCAGATGGTCAATTCGCCCTACCCCAACGGTGGAGGCTTCTTCCATGAGAACGCGTCGGCTCTCTACTTCGAGGGTGGTTTCCCTCAGCAGAGCACAGCAGAGGCTTGTGAGTATCCCTCCCAGGCACCACCATCGCAACCTCCTTCGCATTCCTCTTGCTTGGTGCTGGCTACGCCTCCTGACTATCTTCTGCCTCATCTGCAATCCGTCGATAAACCGCCTGAGGTAGTGACGCCGTACCCTACAGCCACACTGCCTGAAACAGCGATATACTCAGTTTAAGATAAGTTATTGGTCCCACTTTGTACAGAGGCCTCTTACACAATCATCTTCAACCCACGTGGACATGCGAACCGAAAAATAACAGTACATTTTGATTGGTTTCTTTGTCTCGCAAACAACCCGACCCGTCCCACCTTGATCTATTTTACTTATGTAAGACGTGATGCCTAATTTTCATAAGCCTATACCAGCGTCTTTTTTACGGCCTATGTTTTCTCAACAAAAAAACACACCGAACCTTTCTTCCTCTCATTTCTGCAGAAAAGGAGCAAGGGTATAAATGAGTATTTGATTGTGATTGATCTTTGTAAAGAATATGCTGAATGTTTTCGGGGAAAAGAAAACAGATACTATTTCTTTTTCATACATGAGTTATGTTTATTAAACTTGTCAATAGCATCATATGTTGGAAACGCTCAAAATTTAATGAAATTAAAAAAACAGGAGTTTATTTTTTTAAGAAAAAACGCATAAACCATTTATGCTATATTTTCCGCTCAACTGGTGTCTACTCTTGATTAAACTTTTTGGAATGACTGAAGCTACTTCATCTTCTTAAGTGCAGCTTTATAACGAACTGTTTTTCTAAAATATCTTAAGGTAATTTCGAAGAAACCCTAAACTATTTTCTAATTTATATGAGAATGTCAGCTGCGGACAATTTACTCAGTCTTGGACTTTAAATGAATGCTTTGACTTAGTTCTGAGCTACCCCATTTTTCACTAAAATTATGAAGATTTAAGATTACAACGTTTGGTTGGGTTGGATTCGTTGAATATTTCAAATCCATGATACACATCTCCTTAACTGTCAGAAAACACTTCAAAAGCTTAAAAAATGGATCCCTGATGAGGCGCTGTTAACATAGTCATCATAACTATTCTGTAAAGTCAAAAAGTGAGTGCGACAGAACGGCAGGTTTTGCTTCACGATGATGAAACTTGTATACAATATCCTGTTTAAAAGAAGTCAGAGAAGATAAATTAGAAGGTCACGAGACAACACTTTTAGTAGACTCCGAAAACAATGAGACATGCGGACTTCTGAATGATTGAAAATTATGCTTATGACGAGCTAATTCAAGCGTCATAACTTCACTTGAATAAAGCGAGGAGCCACCAATGTGCGTGAGTGCGTGCGTGCGCACGTGGACACATAACAGCGAGTCGGAGAGAGGAGAGGAAATTCATTAGGTTGAAAGCCCACATAGGCCACTGTTTGTTTATCCCTTCATAATCAGCAAATGCGCAACCAATAACTTGACTGATAGGGCCGTGGTGGCGGTGGTTACTGGGTGCTATCCGTTTGATTATCTTATAATGGGAGCGGTGAGTTCAGGTGAGTCGATAGTGCCATCCACATAGTGGAGGGAAGGGTGGAAGGGGATATAAGGAGCAGGTGGGACTATTCAATTAGTGTGCTTGGCGTTAGCGTGTAAGATAAGCGTAGAAGATAGAGGTGGATCACCAGGCAACCATGAGTTCACGGGGCTGTGGGCGCAGTTGCTATAGCCGACTCCGCATACTGTTGAAAACATCAGAATAGGAGCAAACATCAATGAGATATTATTTTTTTTTCATTTCTCAAGTTAATATACTTAACGGAGGAGGGTAAACTTCTTCTGCATGATCATTTTTGATCTAGCAACTGCCCTTGATATTGGAAATGAAAAAGTGTCTTTCACACATCATACAAATGTATCGTTGCTAAATCTTTTGGAAACTAATAAATTTTGAAATTGCAAGATTCTTGAATGGGGTCAGATATTGTAAATGGATCGACCACTATAAATGACCTAGGTCTAACCTCGATTGCGGATGAGTAGAACATTCTGAAAATGATCTTAGAAATACTCCAAAATACTTTGGAAAACGTGCCGCTGTGACCTGAAGGAATATGGCTTTTCAATTATTATCGAAAACAAAACAACAGCCGCAGTGCTCTAACCTTCATATAAGTCAATTTGTAAAGTTACCTAGTTAAAAAACTGACAAAGTGCAGCTGCGAAATTCTTCTCAAAAAATTTTACTTTGCTCAATTGCCATGACCCGTATCGGCACATTTTAAGAGGCAATCAACCAATCAGAAACCACTTTAATGGATAACAACAGAGAGAGCGTATCAGTGATTACCCTCACCCCTTTGGTAAAGGGGTATATCTGCATCATTTTAATCACCCTTATGGTTTCGATGACACCCGCTAGTAGCGTTGTAAATTCACAAATCAGTAGGAATTGTAAGGCAACTGAAAATAACCCACTTGTCCTTCCAAAAGAAAAAAACTAAGGATTACCATCTTTTTTTCGCATACCAATGTCACGATCCCATTCTGGCAATTAAGCATGTAATTCGATTTGCTCAGACGTCTGTGACGCACTTCGATCATCCACCTTGTCTTTTCATTGATAACTAAAACTATAAACTGAAAGTAGATTGCGTAAAGACGTCGTATGAGTTCTCTTAAACGTACAGAATAAATGCTTTTTACGTTTAAAATTCAGCGTCAGGTACTTGGGTAATGTAGTCGACATTTACAATCACGTAATGCTGGTTGCAATTATTAAGGAAATTGATAGGCTTTTCAGAAAGATGCTTTAGCCCAGTGGCACTGCGGTAAAGATACGTTCATTCAATCACCAGCTGGAGGAGGCATTGCCGAATTTTATAACAATTTTAGCTAGCCGAGTGATTAACCTTTGGAGTGGGTTAATCTATGGAAGAATCTGCTAGAACTTCCTAATTACACAAACAAGTTTGATGCTTAAGGTTAGACCTACCATACAGTTGATATTTTTCAGGATATAAAGAGCTACTCAGGTTGGCCTCAGTTACAGTTGCAGACTCAGCGTTGGAAACGACCAAATTGAGTGGATGAGTGGATGGGATTAGGTGAAGGTGAAGAATATTTACTATCGCCAAAAATTGCTCCTTAAGTGGTGACGTGGATACGGGTAGTTGCTAACGCGATTTGAATTCCTGTGCGATATTCGGATGTGGATGCTTTGAGAGTTCTTTGCGGGAGTTTGAAAGTGCCCGGCACCTCCGAGATCAAATAATCGGCTGTGGTGGCCTTGTCCTAATCCACAATCCCTCATCTACAACCACCTGAGAGGCCCATCAATCTGGTTGCGCCGGGCACCTTCGTCTGCCCAAGCTTTCTCCTTCCCTTTTTAAAATTCTCACTAATAAAACAAAATTTCTTTTTCACATTATTGTGCTTGATTAAGTATGGCGGTTGATGCCCGATAATTTGGATTTGCCATTTATAAGTTTCCATTTACCTGCTTATTCGGTATCGCCTAAATCAAGCACAATTGCTAAATTAGATAAAATTCTATGATAGAATGTTCCATAACACGTTTATTACCGAAAAAAGGGCTTATTTCCAAGAAGCATACTTTTAAATAATGTGTACTCCATTCGAAGTTAAACCTTCCTTATAATCGAGAACCGTGACAGAGAACCAGAATGTTTTTCTTACCTACATTTTAAAGTAAAAAAGAAAATGACAATTTACTTAAAATCCCTCTTGGCAAGCACTTTTCTGCTTTAATGTTGAGAATAGAATCAATCAACAATTTAGTCCCTTGAGAGATTGAGGTCAGTATGAAAAGTGAGCAGCGGGGGGAAGGTATGGTGTGGGTGCGTGTTCGAAATCTCACGACGGTGTACCCCACCCGCGTGAGGCAGGATCTATTCCAGTAATTGACGTCCCCTTAAGACCACTGTGAGGTGAGAAATAACATCCGTATTCTCATGCGCGTGGGTGAGCGAGGACGAGTGTGAAGAGGGATAGGCAAGGTAACACCACCTCCGTTTTGTCACTTCTCGAACGCCTGCGGTTAGTCATTTAGTTGCTCCCTCCCCCCATCCGATCCCACCCCTCCCCACCTCTCCCACCCACCTGATGATAATTCTAATGGGCAAGCATACAAGCGCACCCCCATCCCCAATCTTGCCTCCACTCCTCCCACTTCTACCGCCTCCGCCCCCATCACTCTCCAGGGCCCCCACAACGCGGCCATGCGTACTTGTATAGGCATGTATGAAGGCGTGTTCTCTGAATGAACCTGGGACGGCACAGCCGCGCAGGTAAGAGGATGATTGGTTGCCCCGCGATGTGACACAAAAGTCCAAGTCCTGGAATAGCACAACCCCTGTTTCAAAAAGGCTAAAATTGTTCCGCTCGCAGTTATTGACGTAAATATTAAAAATGTGATTTTTAACGCCTATAATAAGACTGCGTTATATCGACTGCCTAGTGGCATTTCAAACACCTCAAGAGAAGGAACATCTTTTAGCTTGATTGAAACCTCATTTGTCCTTAACGCACACATGTTTAAGCTATAAACTTGACCCTGAGAGGTCTTCTATACAGTTTTCACTTGATTTGCAATTTAATTTATTTTAAGCAAGAATTATCCCATAGCAGTCGATTAGCAAAGCAACAATGGATGGGAAACAAAAATAATTCAATTTACTGAAAACACTACTTGCTCCGCCCCATTTTAATTTGATAAAGGCACTTAGCATTCACTTGAATCCACTCTCCGGTCCAGTTTAGGCAACACCATCTTCTCGAACCACCTTTGTGACCGTCGGTGCTAAAGACGTGCAAACAAATTTCAGGCTTACAGTGGCAACCAAAAGAAGTTGGTTTGTCTGCACGCCTGGATGAAGAGCCAAGGCATCCCACTGGAATCGCCCCTCCAATACAGTGTCAGGTTACGCAACGAACAGTCATCCGAGTTGCTTCGGTCCAACTACGGCTCGCACGCAAAAATTCAGAGAGATGAACGTCTCACATTTCGAAAACCACCCAGTCTCGATTCTTTTTAGTGATCACGCATAACCCACGTACTTTTTCGTTTCCTTTTACTGACGAAATGACGGCTAAATTGCAGGACAAAACACCATTTGCGCTCAAAGACGCGCGTAAACTGCCCAAACTTGTGGAAAAGTTGGTATAATTTCATGACAGATGTAAGGGGTGGGTAATCAAAATCATAGCATGTAATATAGCTCACTAAATGGTTACTGCAAGTCAGATTAAGATTTTAGTGCACATGCACATTTCGTGTAAAAGTTGATGAGCCCAAAGCAAAATTCACTATGGAGAAAATGCCTTAAAATGGGTTGAATGAGCGCCGATGTGATGGGATATGAAGGTAATACAGCTACTTGTTCAATGCTTTCTCCCACTGTCTGAGCACAAAGTGTGAGAGAGGATGAGGACCATTTGCCAGTGGGAGGGTTCTTTCGCGCGAAACAGGAAGGAGGTTGAGGGTCACTCTGTAAGAGACAGCAGATGCGTTGACGGGACAGCTTAACGCCTGAGTGCCCCTGGGTTTAATTAAGTCGCCGGTCAACGCGACCGGAAAGGGGAGTGCACAATCTCCAATTTTAACTTTCTTCTTCCTCCTCCTCCTCCTCATCCTCCTCTATCTCCATTACCGACACCACTAAAACTCCCGTGTCGAAGGATTTTGTTAATAAAAGGAGTAGAATTTACGAGTCAAGTAAAGCATGAAGGTGTTCTGGAAAACGACCTGCCAAATGAAAGCAATTAAGAAATGGAAATTATTTAAAATGGAAATAGAATAGGCGAGATTAGTAAATAAATGAGAAGTTACCCTATAGATAGAAAATATGCTTTTATGCATTTAGTAAAAATACTTCTCGATAGATAGCACAGAAGCAAGGAGAACCAAACAGAATTGTTGCCTAAGTATTACTGAGATTACTTTGTGTTTTTACTCGAATTAACCTTTTTGGTAGAGGTGGCACAAAGAGAGCTTGGAAAATGGACCAGAAGGAAGCTTGTATGTAAGAGACTCTAGGGCTAACGGACTCAACTAAAAACTATAACTCGAGCAAGCGAGAACATGTGCCCTAAATGTAAAGGCAAATTTAGAACAAAAGTGGTTTAAGTGGAGCTTGTGGAGTAAGCGAGTTAGAGGTGTAAAGAGATAGTTGACTAGAGAGTGCCATCAATGCTGATAGGATGCGTTTGCAATTCAGACCATTTAAGGTGATGGCAAAAGGCAGAAGTGTGCGTTCTTGAGTCTGTCAGCCAAACTATGCCAACTCTTGTGGGTTGGATATGTTCGTGGGTCAGACATCTTGGGGTCAACAGAGAGTCATTGTGGGACTTTGGCCGTATCTCGATGTTAGAGCCCGGAAATTCAATACATGATCATCTATACTAGGCGCCATCATTCCTGAATGACACTGGCACTGAGCGGTCTCTGGCTGATGTCTGTTAGGTTGGTTCGTTTCACGCGACAACTATCAGCGATTTTTTTTTTGCTTTATTTTTTTTTCATCCTTTGCTAAATGTCAGTGAATGTGCACTACTTGCCAAGAAAAGAAAATAACCTTTATCTCGGGGTTGCTCTGCAAAATTATGTTCAGTTTTCAACTATTATGAGTCTGTTAGGAGGAATATAGGTGCGAACCATAAATCCGCGCTGTTTGCTGAGGAAATGATGAAAAAGCTACCGTTTATCTCAAGCGTTGGTCTGAGGTTAGCACATAGCAGAGTGGGAGTGGAACCTGGAAAAAAGAAACCAGTTTTAACATCATCTATTATGCTCTCTTTGGGGTTAGAGAAGTACATACACACACGATGAATTGACTCATTTATCATGGAGACCATCATCTCTTTTCATAGCTTTTTCTTCAATCACCTTCACCATCGCCATCATCATCATCGCCACCAAATCTCTCGGTCCCTTCTACCGATTGAACTCGACCGGCTCAGTTAATGCCATTTCATGACAGATTATCTAAGGCGCTACACGAAGTGATTTTGCCAAGCATCTTCACAACACCCATCGCAAACGCCCTGAAGTCTGACACCTTCCCATGAGGTGGTCCATGCCCATACCATGGGAAGATATAGTGTCGACCGTAGCAGTGATGATGCAAACGGCAATGATATATTAATCAAGTCGATCCGAGACCCAATCCGAAGAGTTTAGCACCTTTAGGTGAAGAAATGATTCCCCACTTCTAAACAATGACGGAGCTGTGAAAATTGCTTTCAAAGTCTTCTCGAAATAAAAGTCAAATGTGGCCCACATATTAAATGTAGGCGAAGAATTAACGCCCGCCGCCGGATGACCACATAACTCCTACTCTGTCGAAATTTTGTTGCATAATTTGGTGGAACTTTTATCATCAAACCACCCAAATAAGCTCTTCTTCTTATCTCTACTGTCACTTCCACCGATGCCAGACTTTCATCCCTCCTTCCTCCAGCCGAACATTACTGGCATACTTCTGTCGGGAAGGTGCAACGCCCTTTGGCTGACACTTTGACACGAGACGATGCACCCCAATTTTGGTTTTTTATTTGATGGGTAGCGAATTCCTGTTTGTTTACTTAAATTTAACTAAACCGTGGTTTATCAAACGTTAATAACTATTCTTTTATCGGACAAATTATGTTCCACGAGTACTACCGTGAAGTCACACACGCCTGCTATATTTTGTTAGGATTTGGATGTATTTTGGCAGTCTTCTTTCCTTCAAATGACACATGCAGCCTACCTACGCCCTGTTGGCATATTCCTAATTATTGTGACAAGTTTCGAAGCAAATTAATGGCAATTTACTCGCCAGGCCTCTAAGCTATTCATTACATTCAATTTACGAACATTTAGATGCAATAATTATGCTAAGTTAATAATTGAATCAAAGTGCAGGAAACGCCGTTTTCAGAGCAAACAATCACTGCGTGGCTTATTGTGCATTCCGCAGATTCGAACCAAACTCACTTTTCCTGGGTAATCAGAATGTATAAGGATACTCTGAAAGCAATGCCCCACAAAATCGGAGTAGTTAAGCAAAGGGGAAAAAATTTAAGCGATCTTCAACATAGCATACGCGATTGCCAGCTGGCAAAACAATTTGAGCAATCGGCACTGTCGCCATTCAAGTATCTCGGTGTACAGTTCGCTGTAACAAAACGCGCAGCACAATTTGGTGACAAGACAAATCTTCACAAAATCGAAATTACGGGCTGTACCCAAGTGTTTTCCTGCAAATGTACTTAGACAACTTATCCACTTTGTAATTCAAAACTACAGTGGATTAATAAAAGTGACAATAATAAATTGGTAATATAATAATTTATAGTCAATTACCAATAGAATCACTTCTTCTTTGAACGAAATCAGACACCTTCTAACATGCATTTACCTCAGTGTTTATTCAGTGTCAGTTGCTCAAACAATGAATAAGCTGAGAAGTTATGAGTGAGAAATCCACTAAATCCCGTGATCCAGTAACACTTACTGGCCTAGCTAATACCAATATAATCGAATGCATTAGAACAACAGATACTTCTGGCATTATTAGTGCAAGAAAACATAACTGCCACTTAAGAGTATCAACTGAAATTTAAGCACAGAATGTAAAAATTTGGTCAGTTAACTGTAGAGACCTGATATGCGTTCCAATGCATGTTTTACTATGCGGAATTTTTATTCTATGGGGGTTGCACCTCTGTTCTAGCGTCGTGGTCATTTGACAAAACCTAGAGCGTTCTAATCTTTCTGTACGCCTACAGCAAACCATTCCTCTAAATTATTACGCCCTGAGGGAAGTCGTAGGACGCTGCAAATGTAGAACCATCCTGACTTCGTTAGCTAGTTACCCTATGTAAACGGTACGGAAGGAGTGTGCAACAGTACGTGATACCACTAAAGGGTAACAGTCTCTTTAAGATGCAATTCCATCACACTGCCTTTAATCCTGGTTCACAGTTATTTGCAGCTCACAGGGCAAATCATAACGGCAAAATTTGAAGAATGACAGTGAATGATAAGCTGGTTTTTTTATTCTAAAATACGTTTGAATACACAGGCTCTTAATCAGGCGAGTATTGAGGGCCGATATCAGTGGCATAGTTGTCCGGCAATGACTAGTCTAGAGGATTTCTCAACAACAACCATCCCTCTATAGCACTGTAGCTTGTTTCGTTGTGGCTTGTGACGCTACCACAGAAGAGACATCATCACAGTGTTTTGGAAGAAATGCAACACGCTGGATGTTTGTTTAACTCGCAGTTTTGGAAGGGGAAACACTTAGGTGCACTGCCATTGTAATTTCGAAGAGAGGGCTGAAATTCGGGCCATACCAGTAGCCACAAGCCCTACTATATGTCAAATATGTTATTTTACCCAAATGTTATGTCTTCTTTCGCCTTCAGGAAAGTCTCGGGAGGCCACAATAAATGGATATTTGTTGTTACATACAGCGGTACCAATGAGACAAGCTTCCAATAAATCATCGATTAAGTATCTTAATAGTAAAAATACATATTTTTGTGGTTTCTTCTGCAAAATGTAAGAGTCTTTTATTTGAAAATGTACGGAATTTTATTATCAGTCTGCCGCATATAGATACTGCAGTATTTCACCTTGATTAGACATTTACAAGTGTTTGAAAATAACTAAACTTTACGAGTCTTGATAAAGGATGCCCTAATATTATCAGCATTGGAGTTAATAATATGCAAACGTCCCAATGTTTGAATATATTGGGGTCCAAAAACGATTATGATGGTGGTTGTTTTGACTCCAAGAGGGCTTTTTGAGTAGCGGGTGGGTCCCTGTTGGAACCACAGTGATGCGATATTCACTTAGATTGTCTAGGTTTGTTGCTGTAATGTTCATATTTGTTTTCTCAATGATTTATCTATTTTTTTTGGTTGGATCTTCGCTAACCCTCCCTTTAACTATTTTTCAGGCACAATGCTCACTGTTTATTGCTATTTTGAAACAGACTTTAAGGAAAATTAACACCTCTCACTTTCCCCTTTGGTTATTTCCATAGCGTTCGTGGAGTGTTTTTATTAATTTTGCCCCATTTTTTCGTTAGTCGGGGCAACTGTACTCTGTTTCATTAAAATGCATAGTACCGTGTAAAGCTGATGGTGTCTTGCTTAAATCGTCTTTCTCGCCCAAAGAATATAAGGTTTTTATGTTTCTGACCTTGCCCTTGTTTGATAGATTTAAATGAACTCAAAAAATGGTGTTTACTTTGTTTTAGAAATGACAGGAACTGCGACGAAGTTGCCTCATATTGTGTCTGTATTTAACGAATGTCAGGAGACGTCGTTATCCCATGATCGTCTCTTATCCTCCCTGATGGATTTGTATACAAGGGCAAGCTGTTTCACCCTGGATTTTTGTACCGTTGTGCCATCCCCTTGAGCCTTAAGATCTGCTTGCGTATTAGTTTCCAATAGGTCAATTAGATTTAAATTGCCATGCGTGCTGATGCTTTCTCTCAAGTATCCACTTCGCTTTTCATTTGAGCATATGCTCTTTTACGAACTTCTGATGTTCTAATATTTCCGCAGATGCCATTCTCACATTTTGCGGAGGACTTTTTTGAGCTCTGCCGTTATTCTTTGGTCAGTGCGGAACGTACCGTCTTCAGGGAGCGGACCATTGATTTCATTGTTCGTGCTGTTGTTCATATCAGTGCCAATGCTGCTGAACGCGAGGATGGGAATCCGCGCAATCTACTTCTTGTCAAGATGTTTCTCTTCTGTGCTAAGGTACGTACTTGACCCCCAAATGTAACTGCGTTCTGGTTGCCATCTACTATTTCACTTCATTTGATCTGCTATCACATTTACCTAGCATAATAATTGACCTGCAAGAGATGCTTATTGTAAATGGATGCCATTTAGCGTAATTTTTGGCGGTGTTCTACACCCCCAAAACCTACTTGTTTTCTACATCTGTTGTAATCGCTTGGAGTTTACTGTAATGCACGTTCACAGCCTTACACCTTGTATTTTCACTTTCTGAAGCGAACAAGCTTAATAATTGGCGTGCTCAAGTAGGCAGTCTGCCCTTCCAGAACCAAACTGGGGTCCCTGGAGTGGAATCTAGTTTTAACCTTTACTACTGTATTTATCTACTAAATCAAAATGTTGGGTCGATTGGCACGTTATTACTACGCTTACTAGGCGTGCCTATGGTTTTTCTTGGGTTCTTCATTGGGTCTTGCTTGAAAGGTGTCTACTGGTGTTTATTTCTCATTCTTGGCAGTATCACGAATGCGTCAAGCATGCACCACGTTTTCGATGCACGCAGTTTATTCACAAACTGCTCGAAGCCATGGGCTCTGAGGCTTGCCTGCCGGTGGAGCTGTTCGACATCATTCAACGCGTCCTTCTTCGGCGGTCCACGGATGTGAAGGTAACGAAGTTCCATATTCTTTTTCGAAATACGTCTTTTGAATGTCCTTGGGAAACACTTTGGTAGAAACTTCACTGCATTTTTTCTTCGAATTCTCGATATCTATGCTCATTGAACAGCAGTAGCATCCCTTAACCTTATTTTTGCTAGTAGGAGTTGTGTGTTGGTAACTCTACTTCGAGTATCCTTGTCACAGCTTTGTTTAAGATTTGAGAGTTGCACATGACTTAGTGATGCTTTGGATGACGTGGCTGTCTTTAAAAATGGCTAAGCAAATTCATCGTTGTCTTGCCTGTCTATTTGGAGAAATTTTGTTGGAATCCTGATAGCAGCAAACAAAAATTAAGCAAAGGTTTACCTCGTAGATAAATGGCAGGCATGCGATTGGAGCAAAAGATCGCTTTAAACCGAGAACCGAACGTTTTTATGGTTCCCAGGAGACAGTTTAATACTTGTAAGATGCCTTGATCGGCTAATGCAATTCGTAATCCGCTTGGAACGAGAGGTTTTGGATTTCAACACTTTCAGCAGTCTCAGCTGCGCTGATGCTTATTCTGAGCGTCGCCTTGGCCTTCGACTGTTCACTCAGCCAATGCAAGTTATCTTTCCGCAGGCTCGTTTGGTTGTTTACATTGGGCTTTCAGCTATATTGATCATTGGTAGAAATCCAACTCATCCATTCACTTTACCTAACGAATTCTCATGAGCCACGAAAAAATCCTTTATTATTTGTCACTCGTCGTTAGCCTTAGATGCATCGACAAAATGGCTATACAATAACAACATCATAAATTACAGTCACTCATTCTACATTTGGAGCCTACACGAGGACTGTTCATACTTTCTCCACTGCTCACAGCCCATGATCCGCGTGCAGGCAGCCCTGGGTCTAGCGCGTCTTCAGAATCCCACGGATCGCAAGTGCCCAGTTATTGAGCAGCTGCTGTGGCTTTCGCGCCACGACACCTCACCGGATGTTCGTCGTGCCGCCCTCGCCGCCATTGTACTCACCACCTTCACCCTACCTGTCGTCGTGGAACGCTGTCGAGACGTATCCGATACCGTCCGCAAAACTGCCTATAGCATCCTCGCACAACGCTCCGTGGTTCGACCCCTCTCTATCGCCAAACGTATTGCCATTCTGCAGGATGGTCTTACAGACACCTCGCGTGAGTTTTAACTGAAGTTAGAATAGGGCACTAGTTTGTAGGTTTTTCTTAGTCGTCTTTGATCCCCGTTCGTCTCCTAGCTGATGTTCGGAAAGCGGCGGAGGCAGTGGTGATAGCGTGGTTCAACTTCCTAGATCAAGATCCGATTCTCTTGCTGCGAAGACTGGACACCGAAGGTGTACCCAAGACTAGTAAACTCTGTCTCGATCATCTATTGCCGAATTTGGAGGAGGATACCTTGGTCACTGTCATAACCAAGTGGGCGGCTGACTATTTGGACGAAAGGTAAGCGATTGATTGAATGTGTGCATGGATTAGGGTCAATGATTTCGTAAACTTCCTTTTGTCTGTCTTAATCTTCATGTAACGAGTGTTTTGCTAGCAAGGGGAAGACGAGTTGACGCGTTACCTCATGCTTCCCACTCACTTAGGCACATCCCAAAACCCGACAGATGTTCCGTGGAATGTGTCTTCTTTTGGCGCGTGATAATCGAGTATCTATTAAAACGCCAGAACGCCGATGATACCAGCGAAGTGAACAATCAAGGTGAGGAAGGTGGGCAAATCTCCCATGCCGCCACCACCTCTTCCTCGCCTGGCCAAATTGCAGCCCTCCTTGAGCGTATCACGCCCTCCGTTTCCGATTATGTTAACTTCATCATTCAGTAAGTCGCCAATTTGGGACTAAGCTTATCTAGTAACCGGAAGTGAATTTTTGTGTTTCATCATGTAATAATAAGTTCAAGAGGCGATTTGTTACTGGCTTTGTTGTGAAGGTACATCATTAATTATCGCCCATCGAATTACGAATCCCTTGGGATAACTGTAGTAGATTTGTCTTCGGAAATGAGATCTGTCGCAGAATTCCAACTAGAGAATTTAATAAGTCCTGTTTTGTTAAGCGTTTGAGAGTTTACAGTATTCTGGTGAAATATCAGGGTACTTTGGAGCAGAATATCCATAAGATACACCGGCACTGCGTTATCTCAGCATCGCTGGCTACGTGATTTCACGAAGCCTGATCATTAGATTGCAGTGGATACCAGCCAATGAGGGAGCCATTGAGACTGATTTTATTGGGAGAGACGAAAGAATCTTACAAAGTAAAGGAACAAACTGGACTTCGAGGTTTAGCCACTATCACCAAGTCTCCAGAACGCACATCAATTTACCACTGCGTCGCGCAGTTGGTAGCGAATTTACGCTTAAATGCCGAAATTATGTCATTGAAGTATTTTAATTTTACTACTGCATAGGTTTTTTGGGAGTTGGATAGCAAAACAAATTTAAGCCTAAATCTGAGCTTCTATATTTACTAACATCATTTTTGCTTCTATTACCCCGTACGATCCTGTGCCGATTATTGGTCTGTTAATAAGTGTAGAAGAAACTTATCTCCACTCTCATTTCTGCTGTCTTACTAGTCGCGTGGACAGTCTCCTGGTGCTGCTACGAGCAGACGTTGACTACAACGAGAATGTCATGGAGGCGGAAAGTGTGTTGGAGCACGTCCTCCTATTGTGCGAGTCTTTGGACCTCTCCGACGAATTTGGACGGCGACGGCTCTTCGACGTTGTCCGTGGCTGGCTTGTGTGCCCACAGGTGCCTGCTAGCCTCACAAAATTCCTGCTGCAAATCTACTTCAATCTTGAGTCAAATGTGGTGAGTTTATCGTGTCGCCACTAGCAAGCCTTTTTCTTAAGTACTCAACTAGTTTGTAATGCTTGAATTTGCTGCAGGTATATGTAAAACGTAGGTTTCTGGAAGAGATTTTACTTTTGTTGCCATCATCAGTAGTTACACTTCATTCCAGTTTCACAAATGCATCACACCTGTTACTATAAGTGGGTTTGGAGTGACTAGTGTGGCTGGACACTTTCAGGGCAAAGGTCCTGGTATTGAGTGCATCAAATAAACCAGCGTGCCCCAGTACGCACGCACACAAGCTGCTTTAAGTACATCTCTGGTTTGCAGCGGTTTTTTTGCCTTACCTTAATATTTAAAAGTTTGTGGTCATTGAAAGGCGACTGTTAGATTTGATGGTCGGGTATTTCTTGCAGCAAAATCGAGTGCTAAAGGTTGCGGAGATGACTTCTGAGCTGTTGGAATCTGCTGAAGAGGCGGCAAAGCAGCAGAACTTAAGCGTTCAAACCACCGTATTGACAGCTGTCGGTACGAGCGGCAATCACGGCGATGTGTCATCCCGGGCACTGAGTGATGGAAGGTCACCAGCTGAACCTTCGCACCAACCCCAGGCCAAGCCGTTGAATAAGGCCCGCGAGACCTATCTTCGTATAAAGGTGGGACAAATTGTCTTGTTTCATCTTCAGTAGTTCGATGGAATCAAAAGCAGCACCACTTATTCCCTCCCTTTTGGTAGGTGGCTGAACTGAAGGTGAAATTGAATGAATTGAATGAGTCGCTGAGTGAATGCATTCGGGTGAAGGATTTTGAGCGTGCTACGTCCCTTCGTGATGAGTGTGCCCGACTGGAGGGAGAACGCTCCGCTTTGCTTCACGAACTCACCGGGATTAACTTACCCATCTGGTAGGTCCCCTGGTTATTAGCGATTTCATTGCTAAAGTTAAAGCCGGGTAACAGTGACCGTATCAAAATCTGCAAAAATTTTATTTGTTGTACACCGCCTCGATACACTCTGATCACTTCAGCTCGGACGAAATTCACTACGAGTTTTGAGGGAGTGAGAAAAATTCCTTGATTATATTCAAAGCTGGAACGTGTTGACATATTAGGCTTCGATGAATAGGTTTAAACATTTGCGCAGCAATTGTAATCAGTTGGAAAACTTGGACACTATTATTTAATAGGTCACATAATAATTGCACGCGTTTTCTCTCTAGCTATTTCGATAATCATGCAACATTTTTGTAGCATGGAAGAGAAGCGAGGTGTCAATTTTCGCATGACTACATTATAAATGTTTTCTTCAAAAATTGACTGAGGCGCTATTTTAAACTTAGTATGTGTGTTGGCAGATCCAGCGTGTACTCGAAAAACGCTAACCGGCTTGGTATTTCATTCGTTGCTGTTATTAGGATAGATTGGTTTCCCTACCTCAAATGTAGAGTCCTTCTGTAAGCGAATATTTAAGGGTAATATGGCTTTCACACAAGTTTAAACGATGACGATTTGCGTATTTCGAATTGGATTTGTAAATTTAGCGAAATTTAACTGCCGGTTCATGGGTCATTTGTGAGAGCTTTTAAAATCGTCAATCTTTTGTGTCGATATGGGTCACGCTCTTGTTGCCTTGGATTTTACAAAGGGGTTTATTTCAAAATGGCAATTAGGATACTCTTCGTGAGTTAGTTAAATTTTATTGTGCTTCCAGGTTTGTTAGTATGGAGGTGTCAAACTAACCTATCAAATTTTGGTGCCTTTTTTCTCGCCTCAGTACGCCAGATACCAATAGTCGTCCGGCTCTCTCTGCCTCCTCGGTCCACGTGTCCGGCACTATGAAAGCGGAGATGGTCACGGAGGAGGTGGTGGAAATAATCGACTCGGAGGAGGAAGAAGAAGAGAACGACGAATCGGATCCAAAAGTAATTCTGGTGCGTCGGCAGATCAAGTACCTCTCACGGCTTTCCGCAGACGTGGTGCTGAAGGCCAACAAGATGGTCGTTGTTACAATTCAAAAGTCACCTTCTCTCTGGTCCCTTCCACCCTCGCTTCGGTCCCTGCTTTACAATTTGGTGGGTGTCTGTTTGTTTGGCCGATTTCCATTTCCCCTTCTGATCAACCAGTCTGTCCGTTCGTTAGATCCTGCCCAGTGTTCAGCACACCGATTTGGCCATCCGTAATCAGGCGATTTTGGCGCTGGGTCTCTGCTGCACTCTCGATTTGGCTCTCACCAAGTCATACCTCTCGCTCTTCTATGAAGTATGTACAAATGTAAAGGTAGCTGGGTGATTAACATTTCACGTTCATTGCCTTATTGCGTTTTGCTTCTGTTGAAGGCTGTTAAACTTGACCATGCCACGGTACGTGTGACAGCCATCAACTGCATTATCGATGTCTTCGTGATTTTCGGTCTCCATCCTTTCCTGGAGGTGGCGGAGAAATTCGATGAGGTCGATTTGGACATCGGTGGGTTGTCATTAGTGTATTACTCCGTCAGGCATTAACAGTCCCGCGGTCAAAAGTATCAGTGCTTGTGTTTGAAATACGTTTCGTTCAAATCTTCCGATTATATTGCTGTTCTTTCGTTTCTCGTATAATATTTCACTTAAAGTCAGTTCATTAAACACAATAGTGATGAGGTCATTCAGTGATTGTTTTTTTTTTTAAAAGCCGAGTGGTTGACGTAAACTGTACGCGCGCAAGGTCACGTTGTTGTTGTTGTTGTTGCATTTTCTAAGTCGATGTTAACCTGACAACAGTTTGACCTGGTGGCCGAAAATAGTTTATCACTAAAATAACGCAAAAAGTTCTCGACAGTGACAGAATATCCTTTCATGTTTGATTTGAATGGACCGGTGGCATAGGTTCCTTTGATAGTGAACAGTAACAATAGCAGAGTAGAAGAGGCGGATTTAATTTTGTCGTGACGAATTTGCAATTTACGTTCATGGCCTTTAGGCCTTTATTCAGGTAAGCGTTTGCTTAAATCCTTTCTGAGATAAATACATTAGCTCCTTTCTTTCTTTAAAGCAAAATACACACTTCAAGTCCATTCCCATCGCGGATTGCGGTTCGACCTTTTTGAATGAATGTTCTACTTGCCTTCTAGGTGACCTTGTTTTACTGAAGAGCGGACGTTTCGGCTCCGGTGCCATCAACACTACCGCTTCTGAGACTATCAGCCTTGCTCTTCGTTTATTGGCACCTATGGTGGAACTTATCGATAGTGATGTGAGTCCTTATCCCTAGAATAATCTCATAGTCCTACACATGTGGCTGGAAGACTGAAAGTAAGCATATTAAACAAACAGTTACTTTGTTTGCTCCCATCTGAACTACTTTTACGTGTTTAGTTGAGTACTCTGGACCCTGAATCAAAGGTATGTATGCCAAATTCAGGATTGTTGGGTTTATGATTGCTTTTGAGTTTTAACCTTATTCGTTCTTGTTATGTGTTAAAAACTGGCAAAGTGCTGATCACCATGTCTGGATTATCCACTGCAGATCAATCCATTTGTTGCACTTTCCTTCATCGCTTGACATAAACCGCTTTTTCCTATTCCCTATTCCACTGCGTTTCCCAGCCATAAAATGCACAATTTGGGACAATTCAGTGATCAAGATTGTGCTCTATGCACCATAATCTGCGTTTTAACTGCTGCATTTGAGAATGTGGTGCTCCTTTAAGGGATTCATAGTTGTAGTTGGGTCATGCAGATTTCCTCCCCCCGTGAGTGTGTAGTGTAAACATGTTTTTTGAGCCCCGGCCAACGGCTGAGATAGTTGTAACTTCCTGTTTTCGGTTGTATGTTGCTTGTCTCGCACTTGTAGGTCGAGATAAAACGCCATAATTTTAATGCTACGTAGTTTTGGTGAATTTCAACTCTAGCACAATACAATTAGTTTGAGCTCATTCTTTATAATCGGATTGTATGTTATTAACTGCAACTTTTCCCGGGCAAAAGTCTGCTTTAGGCTTTCCACATGCAAAAACCATTCATAATTTTCCCTTTGCATACGGTGAGCATGCAATAATTCAATTTTTTTTTCAAATGTTGTTGACCAAGCTTTGGGTCATTTGACCCCCTTTTTTTCATGCAAGTGGAAATCTGACTATGCCTGTGTTTGAGCATTTCCAAAGCTACGGGATTTTTCGCAATACACTAAATTTGTTTACAGGTTCCTTTTATCACTCGCCTCTTCGATTTTGCTCACTTGATTTGCTTCTTAATAGTCGCCATCAGTACTATGGTGATTGGTGAAATGACCGCCATTTGATGGAAAAGTTATTCCGATTTCAACAAGGGTGTGCATTAACCGTGCATTCTTAAAGTAAGTCTAATATCAAAATCCTAGGTTATTCCAAGATACTCAAGCAGCCGGTTTCAGCAACGCATCACTATTAATCTGGTTTGGGTTTAGCCTAAAAACTAAAATATCATAGAGTTTGTGAACGTTAAGGTCGAAAAATTTCTGGAAGAATCGACCTTCATTTGTTTATGGTCAGAAGAATGCTTTCTTGTTGTGCCATGGTTGCATCAATAATTGCACGAAATACCACTGTTTCTATAAGCTGGCATTGTGAGCTGTCCGATTTCGATAAAAGTACTTTTTGGGTTATCACAAACATGCAGCTGCAGCATTTAACCCCTATTTTTTTCCCACCTACCCTTTGCACCGAACGCTTGCCTGCCTGCACTTGTCAAAAATGATGAATTTTTGTGAGTAAATAAACCAAAAGTTTTTGCGTCTAGAATGCTCAAACTCAATCAAAGGAACGGTTGTATCGGAATCGTGAACTATACAAAAGTGTTTTATTCCTTTCACTTCAACCATAATCACTCATCGAAGTCCATTTACAGTGAAGACCTCACCAACTCGCTTCGCTTGCAGTTTGCAGTGACTTTTCAAGTCTATCTATTGTTGACTTCCTCGCACACTCTTTAGGATGCAGATTTGCGCACAGCAGCGGGCGTGGGTGTAGCGAAGCTCTTCATCTTCGGCCGTCTATTGTCGGGCCGACTAATCTCACGCCTACTGCTGCTCTGGTTCAACCCGCAAACTGCGGAATTGCCTACGCTGAGCCAGTCATTGGGTGTCTTCTTCACCGACTTTGCCTGCTCCAGCCCCGAGCGACAGGCCTGTGTGGCCGACGCGGTTCTCCCCACCCTGACTATCCTCGTGGCTGCGCCGGCCACATCTGCTCTCTCCGAAATCGACCCTGGCCTTGTCGTCGATCTCCTCGCTCGACTCACCGACGCCTCCTGCCTTTTTCCCAAGGTGCAGAGCAGAGTGGCCGCTGATGGCGGCGAGGATTACAAAAGTACTGTGAGTTTAGTTCGCCTTAATCATAGAGCACAACGTTTTGGAAAGTTTGCGGGCCTCTAGATGCGGCCCGGTACCTGAAGCCACTTAGTAGTTTTGTTCGCAATCAAGCGTTGTTTCAATCTCTCAACATTTCCATCGAAGCCTTTTTAACGATTTTTATCGTTACGGTGACACTTCGATGATCGAATGGAAGATCAAAGCCGTGTCGTGTTTGAAGATGCCTAATCTTCCAAAGGTAGCATGTCATTTGACGACAGCATTGCTGCCGATCAAAGTCCTTTTGGTGATGAGGCTCAGTCCAAAATTATACCGTCCCAGCTGTGTGCTTGCACATTGCTGCGGACAATGTTTGCTTGGTAGTCTCGAAAAAGTCACCCTACCATCACTGCCAATACTTGTAGGATAATCCCTGCCACGACGACCTGGCTATGCGCCTTAGTAATCGCGTTTTGAACGCCCCCCAGTCTGCAGAGGCTCGTCTTTACATTCGAGTACTCAGTCAGCTTCGACTCTCGCTGTACAAAGCTCAGTTATACAAGGATCTCCTTCGCATGACAGATCTTATGTTCAAGGTAACCCCCCACCTCATTTCACAGTTGCTATTATCTTCTTACCAATCAATTGACTTCAATTAATTATCAGTTCTACGTTCATATTGGTTTTATTTGCTGATCAGGTCATCGTTTCTTACCCTTTTTTCCATTACTTTCTCTACCTTCTCGCAGAAAGTTGAGCGTAGTGCGTTCCTGAGTCTCCATCGCTTCAGGAAAAATATTCAGGCTAGCATATCTGCTTCGGGCTTGACGATGGACGACTTCCTGTTGGAGGGTTCGGACGTCGTGGTACAGCAATCTGGTCCGTCTCTTTCACCTCATGCTGAGGATCGTCCAACCCTGCTAGAATCACCTGGGCCCTCAAAATTGAACTTGGAGGAAGAAGAGGGTCTTTCTCAAAGGACCTTGATTGCGCAAAATGAGGAACTGAGGAGTACAGTAGCCGGCTTATCCTTCCGTGGTAAGGGCTGGGTAGTTTTGGTCGAAATATTCAGATTATAGTTCAGGAAGTATTTTTTTGTTTTACCTACGTGATTCCCCTTATACAGCAAAGCTGTACCAATGCGAAGCAGAACTTGCACAAGGAAGTGTCATGATAGAAGTTAATAGTCCCGGGACTTGCCTGGTTGACTCGGGAGGCGATTGTGCTGATTCGTCAGTGTTGGAACTTGACACGAATGAAAGCGGAGTGTTTAACGATGGCACAATGTTTTGGCTATGATGTATCTACGTGCCGAACCAAACCGAAATTAGCTTTTTAACGAAAGTTTACAATTTTACATTTGATGAACCGACATTCCATGGTTTTTATAAAGTGCTAGGGAAGTTACAGAGTTATGTGCATATCTCAATCGTGTAGGTCCCTCCCTGGCATCGAAACTTCTAGTGTTCTCCGACGATGAGAATAACGATAAGAAGGAGGGGGAAGGTGAAGGAATTGTAATTTCAGAAAAGGAAGGGGAAGAGGATGGTGAAGCTAGTATGATCCAGACTCGCCAGACCAGCTCGAAGCCGCTCACGAGATCACGGATACGCGTTTGCAAGACACCTACTACTACTACCGCCACCCGCAATATTCGTACCGCATCAAAGGTTAGCCCGTATCCTCTTCTGTTTTTTAATTGCAGCGATGTCTGTTCTTCATAAGATGTACTGAACATCAAAAGCTGTGGGTGTTGATAGGGATGCGTAATTGCGTGCTTATCGGTTAGTCCACTTTCTGCCTTTCCACGAGCTCAAGCACATTTTCTTTGTGTTCTATTTAGGCCAGAGTGGCGTCCGTGGTAGATAGGGAGTCGATGCCTCCGCCCTCATCCAGCATTGCGAAAAGCAACGTTCGTAAGAAGTCGGAGGCACTTCGCTCAAATGTGCGCCGATCGTCCGCTTGTTCGTCGACGAGAAAAAAAATGAGAAATGACCGCTTATGACATAGGCACCATTTGTATCTTCCCATCCCTCACCATCATTGCCGTGGCGTATTATTCTTTTTGTTATATAGATATCTAAAGTCATCTTAGCTTCTTTTATCTGTCCGTGCTTGACCCGCATCGTTCGAAAAACTGGTCATGGCATATGGAAACGACGGCGACAAGGTTTTCTGTGTTGACGGGAATTTTTTGATGATGGTCTATGGTAGGGGAATTTAAAGGGTGAGTGAACAAAAAATGTCGATACGTTTGCTGCCAGCGTAACATTTATGTGATAGTGGCCTTTTCAGGGCTCGACGTAGTGAATGTGATGAGGTAAATGACTACTCACGATAACTAGTTGTACCAGGTAGGCACCCATACGGACCGGTTGAGTTTAGACAATGAAGCGTGCCAGTTTGCCGATTAGGTTACTTCACTTCTTTATGATTTTAGTGGTAAGTTCTAAAAGAGTGAGCATCTCTTGGTATTTCATTGGAACGGTGAAACGTGTGGATTCTGGTGGACGAGGTGCTTCGGGTTTGTGACCGGTAATTCAAAGGAAGAGGGGCGTGTGTTCCAATCTCCCAAGGCATTTGGTGTGACAAGAGCAATCCCATATTGGTAGGTTCATTTATGAATTGGCGATGCCGTGTGTTGATTGAATTCTTATTTGGAAGTATGAAGGCTCCATATACTAAGCTGTGCCTCATCATGAACGGGATGAGTGCAAAACAGTAACCTCGGAGCTTTCCTTCTGGATGTAGAAAAGAATGTTGGGCCTTAATTTGTTTCTGCTGTCCGGTGGTATACCTGTTTGCATTGGGCCTTGAAATAGGCGCATAAGAGAGTTTAATGTAAAAAATTGCTCGAATGTGCAAGCCTGTGTGGTAGGTATTGCCGGCACCGTCCATTTATGCGGTGTAACCATACCGTACACTAATGCTTCGAACGTTTACAAAGTTAAGCTCCAAAATTCGCAGCAGATTGGAAGGAGTCGCTGACGTTTGATGTGTCACCAAAAATGCTACTAAATGCTTAGTTTTAGGATTTGACACATCAAGCAGGACCTATTTCATGCCCCCGAAGCACTTTAATTACACCTAAAAGTTATCTCAATACATAACTGTTAAATAGATGGCTGCCATAGTAACAGTGCAGTATCACCTAATGGTTATTTGTCACACTGGCACACTACTAATGTTACCCCAACAGCATTCTAGTTCATTCATTGACTGACGTTTTCTTTTGCACCCACAGCGAGGTGAGACCAGGTAATGAGTGGCACTGTGAACTCGGTTGACTGACGTCTCCTTGTCATTGTCAGAAAGGTAAACTAGGTGAACTTTATGCGCCACGGAAGCCATGTAACGAAGGTACAACGCAGTAAAGTGCTTTGAGGATGCAGATAATCAAGCAATTTAAATTTCACCGATCCGTTATCAAGTCGTGACGCCCAGCTGTTGCCTTATTAGCAAGTAAAGAAAGTAGAAAACGTTTCATTACTTTGTTTGCATTTATTTACGCTAGAATCAATTTAACTGTTAGACTACTCACATAATATGCCACTTACAAACGATAGGAAATATTCTTTAGGATATGCATTTCTCAATACATTAATGTGTAGTGATTTGACACTCTGCTCAGCTGTGTGTTGAACCACACGGATATCTTAGTCTCCACAGCTTGTGCTTCGGGTCTGCGGCACGGCTCGAAGGCCGCGCCAGTAGCCGTCCGACCCTCCTGTGCGTTGGCAGTGTATTTTCTCCTACAGTACTTTGCTTTGACACAGCTAATCGAAATGGTCAAGAGGACAGTCTGCTTACTCCTGTTGAGAGTGAGATGTTTACACTTGTTTTCAAATAATCAAGGTGAAAGTAACTTAAAATGCAAACTCTACATTGTCAAAGTACGTGAGAGGGCTCTGTGCACGATGGAAATCCACTTAGACGAAGCGTTGCCTCCACGGAAAGGCATGCACTGATCGGCAACGCTTGAGGTATATACATGAGGTTAGCTTGGAAATGCTTCCACTAATTACAAGTGTTTAATTAATGATACGTGAAGGTAATGTCAACGAATTTCATTCCTTAAAACGAAAGACGAATACGTAGACCAGTAACAAATGTGCCTCCTTTTACCAACAACACAAATGATTGACACGGAATATTAATAACACCTTCCCAATTCCACTTCAAAAAATTACCAAACTCCATTGTGTGGGTGGTGATTTAGCAGTTCCTGTCTACTTAGCCACGCAGACGGGCACTTCAATCTCAGTAGGTTGTACCACCACTTCGATTGGGCATGGTTTTAGACCATGCAAATGGCTTCCCAGCTTTTCCGTCCGTTAGGAATATACGTTCTTCCACACTACTTTGGCTTATTATGTACCACGACTTCAGCGATGACTCAGAGCACTATAAAATCAAACCATCTTGGTGGCTATAACTGAATTCAATGCCTTAACGTCACTGAGGGAGGGCATCTGCCCTCGATAAATAAAACTGTTAAGACTCCCAACAGAAGGCGACTATCGCGCTCTCGTATTCCATGGGAATGCTATAAACCAATGATGTGACATTTGACTCGAAACATTTGATAAAGTTTACTATGGAGCTTTCTAAGGTACCTATATACAGATAAGAACTGCATAAACACGCATCACACTCCCCACTTCTCTACTAGTTGAATGGAGCCAGGGTAGATAGGTAGGTAAGCGAATATATGGATGAAG